GTAAAATTAAATTTCATAAAAAGTGATAATTGGTATAAAAAAGTTACTGATCAATTAATGTCTTCATTATTACCTGGAATTATTAATAATGAAGATAATACAGAAATATTTAAACAAATAATGAAAGGTATTTCATCATCTTTTGTTGGAGGTTATGAAGAATATAAAGGATTGGTAGATAAATTAAAAACTAATATTCCAGATATCAACACAATTAAAGCAATGAGTGAAGAAGATTTAAATCAAATTTATACAGATATTATGAATAATAAAAGAACAGTATTCTTATTTCAGAAATGAAAAAATCATCAAAAGAAATTAATTCAACAGAAGATATTGCAGAACTTAGATCAAAAGCACAATATAAACTTGATAAATTAGTAACTAAAGAAGCGTTAAAAGCTGGTATCACAGTTAAATAAATTATATAAATATATGTTTGTTTATTTTTTTTGTTCTATAAAATGAGAAAATTATACATGAATTTACATAATAATAATTGCAAAGTAATAAATACATATCAATTTGAAGTTGAATTACCAATTGAATTTGTTTCTTCTACTAATAATAAATGTATTAATACTATTGCTACTAGATTCTATAATTCATCAGGTCAGATTGATTGTGGAAATATTTTAAGAAGTGATTTGAATTCTAGTAATAATTATCCTCCACAAGATGGATTTATAATTTTTGCTAACAGTGATAATCAAAAAACATTTGAAATCAAAGACAATAAACGAAAAATAAAAATATGGTTTACTGATTACAAAAATAATATAATCAATATTGATTCAGATTATTATTTCATTGTTCAGTTACAGTTAATGTTTTAACTTGAGAACCGTAGGTTCGTAGAATACTAACTTGAGAATTAGTGTTTTAATTTACCATAAATCGTTTCTAGAATTATAATAATTATAAACAGTACTTGATTCAAAAATATCATAAATTGTAGTTGTAGTAGTTCTTCCTAATGAATTAATAATATATGTTTTATAATCTGTAAAATTAGATACAGCTTTAGATGACATATATATTTTTAGTGAATAATCTTGACATATTTCTATAATAGATGATGTATTTGTTATTTGTAAATTTGGTTCTATTAGATATATTCCATTATTATATATAGTTATATTACTCCACATTAAATTTGGATTACTTCCTGAATAATTAATACCAGGATAAAATAAATTATTAAGATTACAATATAAATAAACACATATTGGTTTAGTTGTTATTGATGATAAATTACTATTTGATGTAAAATTCTTTGGTAAATATAAACTGAAATAATTAAAACAATAATATCCATCACCCCATAAATAACCAACTGTATCTGGTATTATTATTATTGGATGCTCATTTATATTAAATAGATTTTGTACTGTTGTATATATTTTTCCATTCAACATACTTCCACCACTAACTTGTTCAATAACTTTATAAATTTCATTATTAATAATTACATATGGAACTA